AAACAGACTTTGAAGGCTGAAGACATGGCTAAACACACTCAAGCTGACAGGCTGTTATAATTTCCACCAACTACTCAATTGCTTTGATCAACCCAACTTAACCACCCAAGTTTTATTAGAATACAGTCTAGACAAGCCTGCTCTAATCCATGCCCCACTCTAGCCTGGACGCAGAGACGATCAATCATATCTTTGTGACCATTTAAAACAAAAATAAAGTTGGGTGCTGCCAGCATACTGAAAACATATCAGCCCTTCTCTCTTCTAGTCTAGAACAGCCTTGCATACGTATTGTTCCAAACATGTTATGTTAAATGCTTACTGGCACACAAAAGAGAAATTACCCAGTACTGTTTTAGGATCCCAATGGAGAAGGAATTATGCCAAGGAAGGACAGCTGTGTGCATAACAGACTACAGATACATGACACACACTTCATAATTCATGATACTGAAGCCAGCCATTGGTCTCACTAGCATGAACAGTTGTCACCCATCACTAGATCAAGCAATTCAACAAGAGCAGCCTGGTTCATTACTAAGTTAAAATCCCAACTGTGAAGGGTCAAGCAAGTATCAGGCATTCAGTCTCATTGAGAATTGTGTCACAGACCTGTTATGTATTGCCTCTCACTTCATTTGTGGAAAAAAAAAGTATCATGTACATAAAAGCTATAACAATGCACACATAGCAAGGGCCTGAATTAAAACCGTGCAAGCAATATTATTTTCCTAACTTCCAAGTACCTGACTTCACAGTTTTAAATGCATTTTAATGCATGGGTAAATGTTTGAACTCTTTTATTTTTGTAGCACTCAAGTACTGGAGCACTACAAGAATGGAGAGAGACTGTAGCCTTAGGCTCCATTCCAGCTGCTCAAGAGAAAACACACTCTAGTTAGCTCTAGAAGTATGCCAACCTGCTGTCCATCCCCTCCAGCTATTCTTCATCTGAGGTCTGTCTTCCCTCAGGTCCTCATCGGATCCATCAACCCCTTCCCCCACAATCTCTTTGCCCAGTCTGTCCTAGTTCTTCCTGTAGCACCTAAGATCCTTGGAGATCTGTATCTCTTTCCTGCTAGTCCCCCGCTCCTTGTTTAGCCAACACTGGTTTCATCAAACCTCCTTGTTCCAAACATTCTTCTGCTTGGTCCCTTTTCCCCTACCCAATTCAAACCAGTCTTTCCTCACACTACCTGGCTATCAACCACAGGAGGGATATGTGGGGAAAGACAAGGCCAGTGGTTCTCAACCTTGTCAAGACTCAAGGCATCCCGTTGAAAATGCCAGCAGTTAGTTTTCACTCAGTCTTGTAATTTACTTAATTTTGTAAGTCATGTTTGCACATCTAAGTGTTAACACTGTGCAGCATTCCATGGCACCCATGAAAGGATCTCATGGCACCTCAGGATGCCAAAGCACTCTGGTTGAGAATCACTGCCTTAGCCTGAAAAAATTGCAGTAATTGGGCTGCATGCATCATGCATGCAGTCTGGCTAGCACTTTGAAAGTAACTGAGCTTCTCACCACTCTGATTTTGAACTACTAAACATTTTAAAAGTTTCTACAGAGCATGTGGGAAACTACAAATCTTTAGGCTTACAACTTGGACAAATTTGGACATAAATGCCATGCTTTAAGCAAATTTCAAGTACCTGCTGCTCAAAGATTATGTATGTGAAAAGTTCTGACAAAACAATGTACCTCCTTTCCTCAATCTTTGGAAAGGCTGAGCTCTTTTTAACCCAAGTTTTCCCAAAAAAGAATCAGTACAAGACAGACATTTGGCATGGAAGATTTCATCTGATAGCTAAATTCTGCCAAAGGGTATGAGAAACCAAAACCAAGGTCCCAGAAAAGGAAGTGTTGGACGATCTTAATGAGCAGTGCTATGAGCTGATTATAACAAACATATGCATTCACGTGACTTAAAAACTAGGGTTCTCAGGTTTCTTGGAAGAAATGTTTTTTTAAGAACACATCTGACAAAATAAAGCTGAGGTTTGGGAAAGAAGTCTTAACTATTTGAACATTTAAAAGAAAACTCACAATATTTTTGTGTAAAGCCATTTACTGAAACAAACTTACTTTCAGCCAACTAAATACTCTTGCTATAGTTTCAATATAGCTGACTGTCCTCTTTTTTTATCCAATGGCAGAGCACACATTACTTCACACTTACATTAGAACCATTCTTCTCCCTGAGTGGCTACATTTCAATGGTTGATAATGCACTGCAAGTATGTGCATATTATGTTTTATGAATACAGTCAAGCATTGCAAGATGAAAGCACTATGCAAATGTTAAGTCTATATTTTTAAGAGGTTGTAAACATGCTATCACTGAAGTTATGTTCTTTTAATCAAGAGGACTGAATATACAATCAATAATGAAATAAAATACACAAAACTTTGTAAACTTCACTGTTGAATTTTCTGAATATTATGTACAAAAATCTCAATACTATCTTACAGCAATAATTTTTTTGGGGGGGGAGAGAAGGGGAAAGAAAGGGGAGAGAGTTTATCTAATGAATGTAGTAAAGTGAGTAGATCTACAAATCAAAAAAGTAAGAGTATATATTTGCAAGCATAAAATTTACTCTGCTGACATTTATTGCCAGGTTTTCCTCTATTTGAAGACTTACACTGAAAAAAAACAAACCACCAAGAAAACGTTTCACTAGTGAAAGAAAGTTCTTAAAATTTGGATTTTGCTGTCAAAGTTTTTCCATAAATCATAACATTAGCAGATGGCTCAACTAGAGGGCATTATTACTCAACTGAACGAGCATGAATCTCAAACTGCATACATTCTCCAAAAATTAATAATCCAAAAATAACCGGTACATGTTATCAATGCTACATCAGTATCAAGACATGACATTTTTGGGACTGGCAACAAAACAGACATCACCAGGTCCTTTCTTACACTCCAGGTCCATACATCACTTCCACCCTCTTGCAGAGAGTTTCCTACATCACAACTGACAGCCTGGTTTGCCATTTAAGGGCTTAAACCAAGACTAAATTACTTTTTTCCCCATAGTTACCTTGTAGTCCTGACTATTGTCTCATATTCCATTTTGCCTACCAAGTTCTCTAGGCAGAAGTAATCTTTTACTTGTAAAATGCTGAATACTATATAGACAACATAGAACTAAAAAAGGGAACCCCCTGGGCCACTGAGTACGGTCCCCCTGCATTTGCAGGCAAAAGTTTTACCCAAAGGTTCTTTTAACAATTATAAATAATTATAAAAAAACCACCACTCGATTCAAATGCTCTCACAGACTCAAAACAAACAGCAGTGAAGACATCCTACAACAGGGGTCGGCAACCCCTGCCATGCGTGCCAAGCGTGGCACGCGAGGCCATTTTGCTTGGCACGCCATGGCCAGCCCTGGCTCCGGGCAGCTGCTGCCAGTGATGGAGCCTGGGCTACTCCTGGGCTACTCCCCGCTGGGCTGTAGCAGGGAGGCTCCAAACAGCTGTGCCGGGCTCCAGCATCAGCTCTGCACCAGCGCATGCAGGCGTGCCTCGGAGCGAGCGGTGGGGGAGGGGCCTGAGGCAGTGCAGCCCCGGTCTCTCCCCGCTCCCGGCATGGAGGTAATGAACCCGGTGCAGCCGTTTGTAGACAGCCCGGGGCTCTGGGCAGCTGCAGCAAGCACTGCACTATTCCTGTTGGTCATCTGTGGTAATATATTCTTTTAAAATATACAGACTTTATTAAATAAATGACAAGCAACTACTAAAAAAGCAGCAATTAGCACCCGAGGGGGAGAAGAAGGACAGTGTCCTGAAGACTGTTCCTCTAATGCAGCACTACGATCTGCTGCACTGTAATTTTCATGTTTTCTGCAACTGGGGACATCTGCCTTGAAACTGGACATTAATCTCTTTATTGCTACAAGAAATATCATATAAAACTCAATACAGTTAACACTGGCCTTGAAACTAACTGTATTTCCTCACTTTCAAGAGAGGCATCAATAAATTGTACCAGAGAAATGAACACGAATGAAAAACCTTTCCATTATCCCCTCTCACTTTCACATTGCCTACAGTGCATAACACCAACACTCTACAGGATTTCCACTTTCATTTTTAAATACCAAAAGTAACACATTCGCTTTGAACTCTTGCTCTAACATAAGATCAACACATCTAACCACCCCATTCTGTCCTCGCCCACTCCCCCCTCCCCCTGTCGTTCTTGATGGGCAGTTAGTTAATATTACATAATGTGGGAAGTTTTGCCCCCAAAATGTTGGTCACAATTAAGATTCTGTTAGTGAGAGTCTGCACAGCATGAATAGTAGCAGAAACAAGTAATAACAGTAGTAGTAATAAAATAAAGAGACATCAAGATTATTACCCTTTACCAAAGATGGTCGCAGTTATTTTAAAAACACAGACATGTAACTGTGGTCTAGATAATGAGAAAGGGAGAAATCCACTTGTACTCAACAATGCTGATAAGCCCCCTATACCACTTCATCCCTTAGAGAGGCAGGCACATTGGAATTCAGTGAATCTGGAAACCTTTGTTGTGTCCAAAGAGTTGCTTAGCGTGGGTTCTGTAAAGGCATTTATGGGGGATTAGAGCATTTTGGGATGGGGGAGACCTGCTGGATCAAAACATCACATAAAACATTTGAAGGAAGAAGGACAGATATACAACCTACCTGCAAGTACTGGTGTAGGAGTCTAGGCCTTTCAATCCTGCTTAGTCTTCTACACAAAGCCTAATTACCTTGGCATTATGTGGATAGAAGTGAATTTGACCCTAAGGAAATATTCTGGTGAACTATGATTACATAAGACTTCCAGATTCTAATTCTGCCTATTTGTTAGGAATATCAGTATAAAATTGCAAAAGAAAAGGCCATACTTATGGGGGGGGAAAATCAGATTATAACAAAGTAGATGTTCCTTGATTTCTGCATACCCAAGCCCTCCCAAAATATTAATTCTAACAAAAAAAGTAAGATACATACCTTTTAAAGCTGGCAGTTTCTGGAGTTCTCTGTTATTGCTAACATTAAACCTTGAAGAACTCTGCCGTTTTTCCTTTTTCAGTACAGTCTGAGGAGCAGGTACTTTGATTTTAGATAACTGTGCTGGAGGAGGAGCGCTGTTTGATTTTTTGTTTGACACCTGTTTAAAACACACATTTAAATGTAACTTTGTTAAACAAAATATTCTAAGAGCAAGTTCAGGTTACAAAAAGCTCAGCTGGAAACAGGGCAAGATTTTAATGGATTTCGCAGCCTTGTGTCAGAGTGCATAAACATCTATTACTCTGCTGCTTCGGGGGTGGGCAAAATATGGCCCGCAGGTGGGATCTGGCCTGCTAAGGGATTCTATTGAGCCTGCAGTAGGTCCCTCAATCCCGCCCGGCCCTGGCACAGGGGGCAGCCTGGGCCATGGTGTGAGCAGCTGGTCCCATGACCCCTGGACATGCAGCAGGGTGGGCGTGATGTGGTGGTTGGACTCAAACTTCATGGCAGCCCACGCCAGGCAGCAGCAGCTGGAAGAAGCCACTGCCAGTGTTTCTGCTGCTGCCTGACCTGGCTCCGCTGCCTGGGCACCCTGACCCTGGTGTCCTGCACTCACCACCAGAAGGGCTGGACAGAGCAGGCAGAGTCTCCATGGAGACCAGCTGGGACCTCTGCAGGCAGGGCGCGCACAGCCGGGTGGATGGGACGGGGCCGTGGGCAGATGGGGAGCAACGTCCAGGAGTGGGACAGGTGGGTGGGGCAGGGGCAGAGCTAGGATCCACTCCCTGTGTGTCCCTGCCAGCAGAACCTGCACTCATTGCAGGGATACATAGCGAGCAGATCATGGCCTTGCCCCAGGCCCTGGCACCATGATCCCAGCTGCCCCACTCCCGGATGCCATTCCCCCATTTCATCCACCCAGCCAAGCATGCTCTAGTAGGGTCCTGTGCCCCTGGTGGTGGTTGCAGGGCAAACGGGCCAGATAGAAGGAGAAAATTAATCCTACTGACCCACAGCAGCTCACCAAAACTCTTTAAGTGGCCCTAAAGCCCAAATAATTGCCCACCCATGCTTTGCCTGCTCTTTTCTCACATTGGCTTCCTTGTCAAAACCCTTTACAGATAGGGAGAACTATTCACACTCAACTGTTTGAAACTACCTGCTCTCCTGCAGTTCACAGGCATTTCCACAGCGTTCATCATATTAGTTTCCCCCAACATTTATCTGTTCTTTTTTGAGTTATGCCCAGGATCCTCAAAAGGTATGCCTCCCTATTCAATAGGACCTGTGCCCTGTGAATGTCTGTACCATGTCCTATCTTGGCTGAAGCTTCTAATCTCCACTGTAATACAACTGACATTAGTCTAATAAACACTTAACACAGCAATAGCTAAGCAGGAGTCAAGGGTAACTATTTTTCTGTTGCTTCAGTTTCTTCAAGATGTTATGGTAAAAGATTTGTGCTAATTTGCTGTCTACTCATGAAGTGAAATACTTTTAGCATAATGTTTCCTCGATTGTCACTATATGGATGTAGAAGAAGATCAAATTAAATCAGTCAGTCCAGGAAAATGGTTCCTACCTTTAGGCTCACTATACTTCACAGATCATTACTTGGCAGTGATCTCCCTACATGTAAGCTGATTAAAATACACAACTAACAAAAACCTGTCAGAACTTGCAATCCTCAAAAGAAAGAAAGAAAAGCAGGTTTGTTGAGAGTAGGCATTGGTAGGCTGTTTCCTAATGCTATTTGATTTCATGAAGACTTTGTAACAATGAGATGGACACAATTTCCTGAATAGGAAGCTAAATGAACTGAATACAAAATAAACTGATCTAAACTGCAAATATTTTAATGCATTTCCAAATTAGCTGAAATACCTTGGAGAGCTCCCAAATTTAGAAATGATTTTATACTGAAGCATTAGTGTTTAGAAATACAGCTCTCGCTTATTTTTTGCAACAAAAATAATCTGTTCTCCTTTTGCTGTTTTTTGTACTTTCTAGTGTAGAACTTCTGAAGAGAAATTGATTCTTGCCCCGGACAATACTGTATATTTCAGCAGTCAAATGAATTCAACTGGAGTTAAGTGTGGTAGTCAGCAAAGTACCATTTCATCTCAGCATGAAATTAGTTTCACTTGAATATGGATGTTTTGAAAATGTAAACTACTATTGTCCAATTCTGCATTCTACAGAGCACTTCCTGGAAGAGAATTCATTAAACACTATCAATATAATCTATTGTATACATACAGATCAAGTATAGAGACCGATGCAAGATGCCACTACCACCTAGTACCTGCAGAAGCAGATACAAATTACATAGTGCACGTTTTTCAGACGTTAATGTTTCGGTGGAATTTGCTCTATGCACATAATTGAATGGAGGCATTTGGAGATTGGACAACAACAGCAGACTACTGTTACACAGCTGTTGGAGACAAGCACAGAATAGGAAATTTGGGCAGTACACTGAATAATTAATAGGATGCCTTGCAATGAAAACTACAGACATGCTCAAGATTTACTTGCAACCTAATTTGTTCTTAAATATAGTTTTGTTTAAAGAAACAGCTGAATTTGCAAACCTTTGCCTTAATAACCAAGCTCCTTACACTGTTAACATTTCAATTAACACTAAATTTCAGTGCATATCCAGAGACACTTGAAACCTTCAAGTTCTACACAAAAATGCAAGACAGGAAATATTATTTATACATTAATCTTATTTCCTTGAATTTTCTGAAGTATTTTTGACCCCCAAGAATCCCATAATGCTTTAAAACAGTCACTTCACTGAAATGTAATTTTCTTAAATAGCATTTTTGTTTACTTAAAAACACAGGGGAAATATAAGCAAATAAAGTGACAACCCAAACTGAAATTCAGGGCTCATTTGCTTACAACTTTGCTCTTTATACAGTATAGTAAGACAGCCTAGTTACCTTGCATTGTCTGGATTATACAAACACTGCTGCCTTAGCAATATCATGCCTGAATTGAACGCTGTAAATTAATGGAACACTACACTGTTCAGAACAGGATATGTTCATCTGCCACCTGGTTTTTGTTCATTACTTGAAACAGGAAAACTAGTTTTCCTGTTTTCTCTATCCCTAACCAGTTTCTCAAAATGGGAGTTAACAAGCACGAATTTAAAACAAAGGACTCCTAAGTATCAAGTTAAAAAGCCACTTCAGAAAACTATAGTAGTTTAAAATGGGGTAAATACATGAATCAAAGTGGCCAGGACCTTGACTGAGAGGAAAAGAGTTTCCCATCTAGTCAGAGATAAAGGAAAGCATCCCTTGTTGCTATAGTAATTTGCCAGTCCACAAGTGGTGATTCTAGCAAAATTCTAACTCTCAGTTACTGACAGTCAGAGAAATCTTTGCTGAATTTTTTAACGGATTTTTCCTTCAGCTACCACTAACAACTACCATCACCCCAGCTTGAACTTCAGCCAACTGCTTTTCATTCATCTTCCAATTTCTTTTAGCCACACATTGGACAACAGCCAAGATGACAGTTGATCATCATCTGCATATTAGTGCTACACAAAGCTTTAACCTTTAATGATCGCTCTCCTTTGCGATACTGGCATAAGACTACTTGGAAAATGCAGCGTTACATGGAGGTCTGCAAGACAGAACTTGAAATACTGTATTTTCTTACGTGCCACCCTCCCCCCCGCCAAATAATACACACACTTTGCTTTGGGAACACAAAATGAAGGGAAAAGAAAGATTTTTCCAGTCACGGCTGAAGTTTGGCAGCATGGAGCAGGGACAGAATCTATTCATCAGCACCACTCTTCCTCTTTTTCCTGCTCAGCCAAAAACTAGATGTTCCAGGGTGTTAGTCACAGCTGAATTGGCAACACCTTTTGACTGCTCAGTATATTTGGCAGCTGCTGTGACAGGGTTAAAACTCAAGATCCTGTCAAGGGTGCTGCAGGGTACCATGCAATGTTAGCACTGTTAGGCATGCAAACAAGATTCACGTGACAAACCCAGAGATTTCAAAAAAGAATATGTAGCATTACAAACATTTTGATGCATTGTGGTCTGAGTTCTTTGATACAAAAGAATTGCTCTGTTATTTTTCTGTGGTAACAAAACAAGTGAAAACTAAGAACTGGCATTTTCCAAGGGTTGCCTCAAGTCTATCCAGGGGTGCCTCAGGCACAAAAGCTTGAGATCAGTGCTCTAGCTTTTGGCTGAATAGCAGACTCTGCCCTTTCTCCATGGCATCATGAAGGAGCCAGGCAGCCTAAAGCAGCCATTCCAGCACCCCCTGCCTTCACTGTTCAGCAGAAATCACATTCTTCACTTAATGCACACACCCCAGTTTTGGATGGCTAGGTTTTGGGGGGTGGGGAATAAGTGCATTGTATACAACTAAATGTACTACTCAGGTAGCTGGAAAAGATTACTACAATCAAATATAGCTAGTTAGCAGTTTAGCAATTTAAAATGTTCTTTCAATTTTGACAATTCGCATTAACATAACATCGGTCCGTGCCCATTTAGCAACTGGATCAGAAGTCAGCTGGCCTAATACTGACTAAAGACTAACAGACTTAGTCCTTTAGGTCAAGAAGTAGAGCTTATGATTTTAGATGCACGAGTCTGAAGTTCAGCTTCCTTAGACATCCTCATGCATTTCTCAAATGGTTCAGTTGAATCTATGCATGCCTGTTGAGTCAATAGTTAATTCAGCATTCATGGCAGTACAAATTTCATGCACAGCAAAAGTAACATGACTGTATCCATATGGGCAAATACTTTCTGGTCATTTACATTCCTTGGATAAGTTATCTTTTCCATTTACTCCTGACAAGGGACCCACACACATGGAATTGGCAGCAAATTTCACCCAGAAACAGCCAATTAATCCCAAAGTATTACATACAGAATCAGGGATGAGTCTACACATGCGATTAGTGTGTTTATTGCTCTGGAATTTTCGCACACAGCAACACGTGTGCAGATGCTGTCCTAGCTGGCTGGGGCATACAGTGCTTCAATACAGGGCTAGCCAGCAGGCAGCTGCCCTACTGAGGTACCTTGCCCCCTAGGCAGCTGTTCCCCCCACCTCCATGTGCTGTGGGAGAGGTGAGGCTGCCTGGGGCACAGGGTGCCTCAGCAT